TAAAATTAATAATTTAATAATAAAAAATAAAAATATATTAAAAATACACTTATTTATTTTTAAATATATCATTATTAGTTATTTAATGTTAAACAACAACTACTAACTATTGTATAACTAAACAGTTATATTTATCAAATCTACTATTTACCATTCGCTATCCACTTTTCACGGTTTAAGTACCATTTTAGTCCCTTAACTTCTCACTTTGACACCAAAATTGTCCCTTAACTTTAAAAAGTACCAAAATTATCCTTAAACTTTTATTTTCGATATCAAAATGGTCATTCTGTTAGTTAAATGACAGGTGACACGTTAAAAATGCCACAAAATCACTGAATTTTTTAATTTTAATGACCTTAATTCCAACTAGGCAAATTTGACATTTTTTATTATTGTTTCACAATTATTCGACCCTAAAAGGAAAAAAAAAAAAAAAAAAAAACTTCATTTTCTTCCTCTCCTCCTTTGATAGTTTTGCCTCCTCATTCTCTATCAACCTTTCTTTTTCCTTTCCCTGCTCATCCTTCTTCTTTCTTCTTCTTATTCTTTTTCTCTCTCTTCTCCCTTCTTCTTCCTCGCCAAATCAAACCTAGATTTGGGTTTTTCTCAAACCCAGATCTTGGTTTTTCTCAAACCTTTGTGTTTTCTCCATTGCAAATACCAACATCCTTGACGCCACTGGAGCAGCGGCTCTTCCTTTACAATCTTTCAACTTATCACCACCACCACCACCAGTGGCAGCCAAAATCACTAAGAAAGCAGCTTCGGTTGTTGCATCCTCCTCCGCCTTTGCGCACTTTAAAATGCTTCTCTCAAAGGCAGTCGACTCAATAGTTAGAATACAAGTTCGAAAGGCCCTTTTCAAACCTAAACCAAGCTCATTAAAGAGAACCTGGTATTTCAATTTTTCTTCCATTTTCAGTTCATTATTCCCAAGCTTTGCTGAATATTATTGTCCTCTCCACTTTGTAGGAAGTTTATCCAGTGGGTTTGAGAAAAACCTAGATCTGGGTTTTTCTCAAAAATGTGTGTTTTCTCCACTGTAAATACCGGCATCCTAGTATTTGTAGGAAGTTTATCCATTAGATTTCTCAAAATCGAATCTGGGTTCGATTTGGAGAGGAAGAAAAAGGAAGAAGAGCACCCCAATTTCATTTTCGATTTGTAGATCTGGTTTAGATCTAAGGTTTCTTTGAGGTTTTCTTTTTGTTTTTGGGTTGATTTGTTCATTTGGGGTGGGGTAGTCTAAAATTCTATAGTTCACGTCAATGGCTTTAGTTTTTCTATGATCCTCATGCCTCGTGTTCGTATTATGCATTCTTTCTCAATTGTGTTTTTGTACTGGTTCTATATGTTTTCTTGTGAACTAATCCTCTGAGTTCATCTCGATTTAATTTAACCCTCATTTTGTGACATCAATTGGGGCACTAATGGCTCCATCGCCAACCTCACCCTCGATATTGCTAACAAGATGCAAAACATCATCTGCATTGAGATCATGATGCATCTGAGTGCAATGTTTGAGAAAAACCCAGATTTGGGTTTGAAAGAGGAAGAAGGGAGAAGAGAGAGAGACATAATACGAAGAAGAAAGAAGAAGGATGAGCAAGGAAAGGAATGAGGAAGGTTGATAGAGAATGAGGAGGCAAAACTATCAAAAGAGGAGGAAGAAGATGAAGCTTGAGAGAGAAAACCCATATCTGGATTTGCAGAGGTAAGCGAAAAGGAAAGGTAAAGGAGAGAGAAAGTGAAAGTGGAAGAACATATCATTTTTTTTTTGACATGGAGAAAAAAAATATATCATTTTTAAATAAAATAAATATGCCAACTCATAAAAAAAAAAGTGCCCAACTATGTTTCTTTTTTTCCATGTCATTAGTTAAGCAAAAAATGAATTGATTTGCTAGCAAGTTAACGTGCTACTTGTCATTTAACTGACGAAAGGATTGTTTTGGTACCGAAAATGAAAATTTAAGGATAAATTTGATACTTTTTAAAGTTGAGGGACAGTTTTAGTGCCAAAGTGAAAAGTTGAGGGACTAAAATGGTACTTTAACCCATTTTTCACTATTCGCTATCTGTAACTGTCACATATTACTCGTTATCCACTACCTACTATCCATTATTCACTAAATTTTAAGTATTGTACCAAACAAAACCTTAGTTTCAATTTCAAAGTTGGGTGGTTGGGTATGTGATGAAGGGGATGACCATGAGAGGGAGGAGAAAACATGTCATTTTCTGATTTATTTTTGGTGTTTTTATGTCACGTGTGCCTTTAAAGTTGTCATTAATACATATGGTAAAGATTTTTTTGGTTTAAGTGGCTAAAATTCAATTATTAATGGATAGTACTTAGTAGATAATAAATAATGATTATGAATAATAAATAATAAATAATAATTAATGGATAGTAGATGACAAATAATAAAAAGTGAATAAAGAATAATAAATAGTGAATTCAATAGATATAATTATTAGGTTATTCAATAATTAGTGATTATTATTTAATATTAAATGATTAATAAAAACACAATTAAAAATAATTAA